CTCATTCGAGCAACTTGTAAAAGCTGTTTTGTTTTTGAACAAACTTGCATGCTCACTTTTGGTTTCCTAATTAATTTCGTCTTACAATTATTTTATTAATTTTATCCTAACCGAACCCAACACTAATAACAATTTAACTGTTTTATATGCACGTAGGAATATATACACACACACACACACACACACATACACGAAAGTACACCAAAAAGTGGTTACCCAGAAATATGGTGTGACTTTGAAAATTATTTTTTTTTTTGTTAAGAATAGAATTTATATTATAACGTAAAGAATACGTATATGTTTTGATTTGAGAGATTCTTCAAATTTTAAGACCAAGAAATTATGAATATTTTTAAATTAAACAACTAGAGGGTACTTTACACAAAATTCAAAGAATAATTAAATTGAGAGAATTAAGTTGTATGTCAATTTATTTGCGGTGGTGAACCAATAACAAAAAAGGATTTGATAGTGAAATGACCAGATGGGTCACCATACTACTATTACTACTACTACTACTTATTAATTTTTTTTTTAATTATTTTTATTATTCTAAATAATTACTCATATTATAATCTATTTATTTAAGTAAAAAAAAACCAAAAAAAAAATTAATCTACTTATTAAATTGTACGATTTTATCATAAATAATTAAATTTTCTACTATGTTTCTCATATATGTATATGTTTTTTTTTTAAAGATTTATAAGTTTATTTAAAAATCATGTAGTTAAGTATGATTTATATTTAATAAATTTAATAAAGATAATCAATTTATTTTATTTTATCTCTTAAATTATAATTATTTTTTATAAAAAAAAATTGTACAATCATAGTTACAAGAAATGAACTACTATAATTTTAGAAGATATATTCTACTCGTAATCATATCGTTAAAATAAAATAAAATATAAAAAAGATATCGTATTCAATATAATAAATGATGAAGGTTTTAATTATGACATGAATATATTATTCGTAAAAATAATAATTATTATCATTTTTATGTTTTATCCATAATAAAACAAACAACACAAACTTATATAAGCTTATAATTTGACATGTTCTAATTGTAGCAATTAGTATAAGAAAACAACATAATTTTTTTAAAAAATAATAAGAATAGAATAATCATGAGATTTATCAAAATAAAAAAATAAAAATGATTGCTTACATATGATGAAATGAACAAATTGAGAACTTCACAATGTTTACGTAATTTATTTAAAAAAGAAAAGAAAGAAAAGCCCACAACTTCACTATGATTTTTTTTTTTCTTTTTGATGTTTGGTGAAGAAAGATGATTAATGACATAAAAAAAAAAAAAAAAAGAGAGATGTGATGGGGGGGGGATATCCCTCATTTAGGATATTATAAAAAAAAATTCATATTTCATTTATTTATAAGATAATGCTGCGGTTATGATTTTTTCTAATTTTTTATTTATGAACCGCTA